CAAGATCGCTCAACAAATTCGCGATGAGATGGGTGTGCTCGAAGTGTTGGACCATCCGAATATCGTTTCATACCACGGCATCGAGGTGCATCGTGATAAGGTCTACATTTTTATGGAATACTGCTCTGGTGGCTCACTTGCCAGTTTGCTGGAGCACGGCCGTATTGAAGATGAGACTGTCATCATGGTCTATGCTCTTCAACTTCTCGAGGGTCTGGCTTATCTCCATCAAGCGGGTATTGTCCATCGCGATATCAAACCCGAGAATGTCTTGCTTGACCACAACGGAATCATCAAGTACGTCGATTTCGGCGCTGCCAAGATCATCGCTGGATCAGGTCGAACCGTAGCCCCGATGGACGGCGGCAAGGACTCTTTACCCGGTAAAAACGATCAAATGCAAAATCGGGGCAAGAACCAAAAGACGACTACGGGAACTCCAATGTACATGTCTCCTGAGGTTATCCGCGGCGACACACCCGACCTCGCGAACCACCAGGGCGCGGTGGATATTTGGTCTCTGGGCTGCGTCATACTCGAGATGGCCACCGGCCGTCGACCATGGTCCACTCTGGATAACGAGTGGGCGATCATGTACAACATTGCGCAAGGGAACCAGCCCGTCCTGCCGACTCGTGACCAGCTCAGCGAACAGGGTCTCAACTTCCTGAGCCGCTGCTTCGAGTGTGACCCTCTCAAGCGACCCACTGCTGCTGAGCTCCTTCAAACAGAGTGGATAGTCTCCATTCGCCAGCAAGTGGTGGTGGAACCCCCCACACCTGGAAGTGAAGCTAGCAGCTATAGCAGCGGCTCCGCTTCTGCCAGTCGTCAAAACTCATACATGGTTTGAGGTCATATGCTTTCTACCTTCTCCGTTCCTCCCTACACTCTCGCCATTCGTTATACACCGTTTTATGACATCTGCCTTTTTGAAGAAGAGATCTTTTTCTCATGTCATCTTCTTTCTCCACACTCGCTCGATCTCGACTTGACTTATACACCCTCAGACGAATCGCATGTGATACCCCTCTGTGCTCTTTACTTATTACTTAACGTCTTCTATTATCTGTCATCTTCTGATTCTTTCACATACGAAAGTCAGGGGCCCCCGTCCAATTGGGACTTTTGCTCGGCGTTGGTATTGCATTGGCTACTCGCATTTTGGTGCTCTTGAAATGGCAACTTATACTCTATCTTCTTTTTCTTTTTTTTTCCGCTTGGCGATTAGGATTATTGCAATTAATTGCTATGTTCATCGAATTTGATCCATTGTCCTTTGAAATAATATTTTTGTAAAAGAGCCCATCTACCAGTGCATCCACCTGGGCAGGCGTGTTCAGAGCTCCCGCCTTGCCTTGAAAGTTACTAGGTAGACCCATTAGGCCTTGTCCGGGGTGTCACCGGGTTTGCTACGAGTAAAAATACTGCTGATAGTAGGTATGGAAGAAGCTGATAAAATAGATACCTTGGAAAATCATGTCTCCAAGCCCGAATCAGCTGCTTGGAAGATACATATCACAAACAGGAAGTTCAGAAGAAATATCGGTCCGGATAATAAAATAATATATGAAAAAATAGAGAGAACCAAGAGAAATAAGAGAAGAGAAAGAAGAATGAGAACAACAGCTCTCCGAAACAAGGAGACCGTATCACTAGATAAGAGGAACGCCGTTTCCTGGATCCGTGAGGCATGAGGTACAATTTGAAAATATCAGGTGGCGAGCGTATGCAGGGCTTTAGCCATGGGGTATATGTAGTATCGGAAGCTTCAAACCCCAGATGCTTGGGAGTTCGCTAAGCAGAGGAGAGTCGGAGAGTAGATGGCTGAGGTGAGATAAAGGTAGTGGAGATTCTCGGAGAGATGGAGCCAGGAAGTACCAGTCGACCTGGAGCATTGGATGTTGAAGATGTGGGATGATAGAATAGTATACGGGTTGGGAGGTTGGCAAGGCGACTGGGTCGCCGCAGCCTAGATGATAATAGAAGCGCCAGGAACCGAGCTCCAGCTTAACGGAACTCGACTACTGGCGCACATCCACGATCCTCGACATGCTTAAGCTCAAGCTGTTGGAATCTGATATACCGTTAGTCAACGCAGGATTTGGAATCAACGAAACAAAGTAGCTCACCTCTCGCTCTTCGCATGGAAATATACACCGCTCACGGATCCTTGTATCTGGTTGAAGCAGATATAGTAAAATCCTTCGAAGCTGGCGCCTGAGATTGTTCGAACTCGGTGGTCCGGAACGAGGAAGTATTCCTTCCACCGCATAAATACATGCTCATGCTGAGCAAAGTTACGTAGTGTGAAATCAGTCTTCTTGGCTTGTTTAGCAAGTGGTTTCCACGCTGGAAACCGAGACCAGTGGTGTATGTCGGTCTTCTCGTTGGCACCCCATTCCTCGTTGCGAGTGATGAAACTGTGTTTGGTGCCAATCATTTCGCCCTCAAAGAAAGTTGTCAAAGTAGGATGATCCTCAGTCAGACCTATAAAGAGAAGGATACAACAACAGTCAGAAAAGCTAGACAGGGCTATGGCTCATTGCCGCGGGAAAATGACTTACCTTGAATGCGCAGGTAGCCGCAAAGGTAAGATTCTGCTATGTCCACATGTTTGATCTCCACATCAACATTGTAAACTTGTTTGTCGGACATTTGAGTACCAGCAAATCTGCTTCCAGAGCGAAGAAACGACGAGGTATGGTTTGGCAAAAGCTGTTGCGATGGTCAATTAATTGAGTGGCGCGTCGCCGATGGGGTAGAGGCGGTACATACCCGAACATTAGAAAATTCGTAGCGCATCAGCGCCGGAGTTGGCATCACTGGCGATGAGCGACCACGGTCGCATGGATCCGTTGGAGATACGGATCTCTCACGGCCCATGTCCAAGTCCGTGCTGGGAGCCAACTTCTGCTCCACTTTGAGCGCCTCGGGCGCTAAAAGCGCACCTCCATCATCGGACCGATTCAACATGAAGGGCGTAGTGTCACTCGGGGGCGACAGAATCTCATCCAGGGGGTCACTGGCCTCGTCAGTCGAGTCCGGCGAGTCTCTCCAGGCCGAGATTCGATCAAGGTCTGGTGGACAGGTGCGAGCGGAGATCACTTCGGCGATCGAAGTCGGCTGGTTGTCACTCGGGGTCGGCATTGGGGATGAAATCAAGGGAGGAGAATGGCGGACATCGGTTCCAAGCAAACGCGCCCAAGCGAGAGCAAAAAAGGAAAGGAAGGAGGAATGAGGAAGAGTGAGAAGAGTGAGAAGGTCTGTACTCTCGGAGAGGGGGGGGGGGATGTGGCCCATTTGACTGTGACTGGGGTCATGCGAGCGCGGGGGAGGCGTTTTGGCCTGAGGCAGCCACACTTGTACGTCAGGAACGATTTCTAGATGGGTTTACCGTACATATTGGTTACTAGTGGGCCATACGGAGTATATAGGGGGTCTAGATTTACTTAATTTACTTAATTTACCAATCTTAATCTATAAATATAGTCACTATTCACCCCCCCTGATTATTTAAACCAGTCTCTTACAGGTCTAATCAGATCTCACCCAGTCTGCGTGGCGAGGACCCAATTGTGGCGAATCAAAGAGCCAATTTTTGGATTACTGTATAATCATTTTGTATCTGCATTGGGTTCAGCTAAAGTACTGAAGTGACGATCCCACTTCCTTCAGAAGGATTCCTCGATGAACGCCCGGTATCGTTAAAAAAAAGAATTGTTTCGCATACAACACACAAACACCAAAGGATTTTGTCTTAGATGGGCTTGATCTGTAAAGCACGTCCGTTAGCATCGCATCGCATCGCATTGCACTGCGCAACCAAGCTGCATCGTATGAGCCCTACCTTGAAGTGGAGAGAAATAAGCGAGAAAATAAGGGCTTTCAAGTCCTGTACGAGGTAATAAAACACTCGTAGACCTTCAGGGTCCGACGATTCAGTGACGTCCACAAGGGAGCCAATTTTCGCGGTCTGCGCGGTAAGCGCGGTTAGTATTTAAAAAAGAATCTTGACCGTCTTTTCAAGGTGGATGTCATACCTCAAACGAGATGTGCTCACTTCCAAGGCGGATCTCCAGCTCCTGGCGTCCGTCCTTGTTCTTCTGGGGCCACTTGGAGTCGTCCTCCCTGGCACCTAGTCAGCTCGTCCGGTCTACACCTCCAAGATGGGGAGTTCCTATAAACATTGAAGGACATACTTCATGATTTCACTATCCTTGATAATGCGCTTGATCTCCTGGATCATGGCCGGGCTCACACACACTGTATATTCTTATCAGATTGTCTGTCGCGCTTGTTCCTGACCAAGTCCCGGAACTCACTTTCTTTGCGGATGAGGGAGTCATTGCGGTAGTTGGAGTTATTCGCGTAACGCACAGCGGCACTGCTGCCATCGGATAGGGTACGGAAATCGAATTCTGCAGTTGTCTGGTCAGCAAGATCATCCTCATGTCTCTCTTCATTCTCTCATGGAGGTAGACCAACCTAGGAACTCATGCCCGAACCGCCCAGAGTGACCTGAGCTGCGGCGGGGTGTTAGCAGCCGGGGTGACCTGGGCTTATGGGACCCATCATTCTTACTAGTATCGGAGGTAAAACACCTCGTTAGTCGACATTGTGTTGAAGAATTGGCACGCAGTCAAGAATCGAGGAATGACGCTGAGTGGTGAAGGCGGGAAATGTTGGAGGAATTGGCTTAGTCATACACACAGAACGGGGCGGCGCCCGCAAAGGGACAGGTTGATGCTTCCCACCCCCCTCTCCATTTGCGTATCTTAAACCAGCACGCGGATGATTCTTAGGCTGGCGAGGGGTGTCGGATTACTTTAATTGCGCGTTCCTGATTTCGGTCCTACAATCTTCTTGTCTACTCTCCCCTCGGGAGAAATCCTACTGGTATGTGCTTGCGGCTGCGCTGAGGTGTCCAAAACATCCCCCCGAACTGACAACATGCAAGCTCCCCTTCGATTCCCCGGGCCGTCGCTTTCAATCCCACAACCATGGCGTCCTTCCTCGAAAACACATACAGTCTGGTCCACCAGGACAACACGGCGGACCAGCCAACTGTGCAAGAGCTGAAACTTCAGCTGGAGAAAGGAACGGATGAGTCCAAGTTGGAAACAATGCGCACCATTATCACGATCATGCTCAATGGTGACCCCATGCCTGCGATCCTGATGCATATCATTCGCTTTGTCATGCCATCGAAGAGCAAGGCCCTCAAGAAATTGCTGTATTTCTACTATGAGATCTGCCCTAAACTCGACTCGAATGGCAAGCTGAAGCAGGAAATGATCTTGGTCTGGTAAGGAGGATACCCGTGGCCGCTCTCTCACGGAATTGGACGATCAATTAACCCGTCTTCTTTTCACAGTAACGGTATTCGGAACGACTTGCAACACCCCAACGAATATGTTCGGGGTAACACTCTCCGCTTCCTCTGCAAGCTGCGTGAGCCCGAGCTGATCGAGCCCCTCCTTTCCTCGGCTCGCCAATGCCTCGAGCACCGTCATGCCTATGTGCGCAAGAACGCCGTGTGGGCTGTTGCGTCTATCTTCCAACACTCCGAATCCCTCATTCCCGACGCCCCCGAGCTTCTACAAACATTCCTCGAGTCGGAGACCGATGGCACCTGCAAGCGCAACGCTTTTGCAGCGCTCATGTCAATTAGCCACCAGAAGGCCCTCGAATACCTCCGCACTACCTTCGATACCATCCCCAACACCGATGAGCTGCTCCAGCTGGCTGAGTTGGAATTCTTGCGTAAAGATGCTGTGCAAAACCCCCAAAACAAGGTATGTTGACCAACTAGATCAGCTAAGTCTCACTGCTAATTGGAAACAGTCTCGGTATCTCAAACTCATGCTCGAGCTCCTTGATGCCCCTACCAGCACCGTTGTCTACGAAGCCGCTACGTCCCTCACTGCCCTAACCAGCAACCCCGTCGCCGTGAAGGCCTCTGCCAGCAAATTGATCGAACTCGCCATCCGGGAGGCCGACAACAACGTCAAGCTTATTGTGCTGGACCGTGTCGACCAGTTGAGAATCCGCAACGAGGGTGTCTTGGATGACTTGACTATGGAGATTCTGCGTGTGCTTTCCAGCCCGGACATTGATATTCGGAGGAAGGCTCTCGGTATTGCCCTGGAGATGGTTTCCAGCAAGAACGTCGAGGAAATCGTCATGCTACTCAAGAAGGAGCTCGCCAAGACCGTGGATGAGCAGTACGAACAGGTAAATATCTCATCTTGATCTCGCGGTATCCTGATACTAATAAAATCCCTAGAACAATGAATACCGCCAACTCCTGGTGCAGTCAATACACACCTGCGCCATCAAGTTCTCCGAAATTGCTGCCAGTGTTGTCGATCTCTTGATGGACTTTATTGCCGACTTCAGCAACACCTCAGCTGTGGATGTTTTGACTTTCGTGAAGGAAGTTGTGGAAAAGTTCCCCCGATTTGCGTGGATCAATTGTGAACCGTCTGGTGTCCACTCTGAGCGAGGTTCGAGCAGGAAAGGTCTACCGCGGCGTCCTCTGGGTTGTTGGAGAGTACTCCTTGGAGGAGAAGGACATTCGAGAAGCATGGAAGAAGATTCGGGCCAGTCTTGGTGAAATCCCTATTTTGGCTTCTGAGCAGCGGCTTTTGGAAGAGGTTCCGGACGACACCGTGCTCCTCATGGAACAGGCGAATGGTGCCAAGGCTGCTCCTACCGGATCCCGAAAGGTATTGGCTGATGGCACATATGCCACCGAGAGTGCTCTTACCAGCCAATCCGCCGCCGCCGCTCGTCTTGAGGCTGTCAAGGCCGCTCAAAAGCCGCCACTGCGTCAACTCATTCTGGACGGCGACTACTACCTCTCCACCGTTCTCTCCTCGACCCTCACCAAGCTTGTCATGCGCCACTCCGAGGTTTCCCAGGATGCCGCTCGTACTAACGCTCTCCGCGCCGAGGCCATGCTTATCATGATCTCCATTATGCGTGTTGGTCAATCGCAATTTGTCAAGGCCCCCATCGACGAGGACTCTGTTGACCGCGTTATGACCTGTGTTCGATCCTTGGCTGAGTTCTCTGAGAAGAAGGATCTCGAGGCTACCTTCCTGGAGGATACTCGTAAGGCATTCCGCGCTATGGTTCAAGTCGAGGACAAGAAGCGCGCTGCTCAGGAGGCTGTGGAGAAGGCCAAGACTGCTGTGCAGATCGATGATGCTATTCCCATCCGGCAATTCACCAAGAAGAACACTGTCGAGGGTGCCGAGGAGATCGAATTGGATCTGGTCAAGGCCACAGGTGGAGACGCCACGGTGGAGAGTGCCGCTTCTAAATTGAGCCGGGTTGTGCAACTCACCGGTTTCTCCGATTCAGTCTATGCTGAAGCCTACGTGACTGTCCACCAGTTTGACATCGTTCTTGACGTGCTGCTCGTGAACCAGACCACTGAGACCCTGCAGAACTTGTCTGTGGAGTTTGCCACCCTGGGCGATCTCAAGGTTGTCGAGCGTCCTTCCACCCACAACTTGGGCCCGCGTGACTTCCTGAACGTCTCAGCTACGGTCAAGGTATCATCCACCGACACTGGAGTGATCTTCGGCAACATTGTCTACGATGGCCCCAGCTCCACCGAGACCCACGTGGTCATTCTCAACGACATCCACGCCGATATCATGGACTATATTCAACCTGCCCACTGCACTGAAACCCAGTTCCGTTCTATGTGGACCGAGTTTGAGTGGGAGAACAAGGTTAACATCAACTCCAAGGCCAAGACTTTGCGTGAATTCCTGAAGCAACTGATGGAGAGCACCAACATGGCATGCTTGACCCCCGAGGCGTCGCTGAAGGGTGACTGTCGATTCCTGAGCGCCAATCTTTACGCCCGGAGTGTATTCGGTAAGTGGCCATGGGATTTTCCTTAACTTTATGTTCAATTTTTTACACATGCTAACAATTATGGTTTTCTAGGCGAGGACGCTCTGGCGAACTTGAGCATCGAAAAGGAGGGCGATGATGGTCCGGTCACCGGTTTCGTTAGGATTAGAAGTCGCTCTCAAGGCCTGGCGCTAAGCCTGGGCTCTTTGAAGGGCCTCAAGGCGGCGGCAGCATAAGTTAGAGCGATTGTGATGTTTATTTCCAGCGGGCTGCAGTCTATATGATGTTTTCTATTATTTCCCCCAGTCTTGTCTCCTCCCCTCTCCCCCCCCTCCTGGTCTTTTTTCCCACCTTTTTTTTGTGCTCCCCTTTTTTTCTCAAGACAAATTTGTGTATGACTCTGTGTTATCAAGGCCAAGGAGTAGTGGAATAGAAATAATGCTTTTCGACGGTTGTCAGCACGCGTCAAATGTAGCAGTAGTACTAGTAGCAATACTACTACGTACATAGATCCCGAGGCTCAGGGTCCGCACTTGTGGCAGCGGCAGCGGCAGCCCCCAGTAACCGGAACCTACGGCTGTTGATTGACACTCGATCTTTCCCGGGGTCCCAGCTTTGTCTCCTGCGCTATCTTTAGATCTTACTCCCCCTTAATCTTCCTACTTGCTGCGCTGATAATTCCCTTTCCTACGATGCGCTGAACTTCGACCATTCATATCACAATCACTCAGAATGCCATCTCTCGACGCGGCTGCGGATCAGCCGGGCGCGCATGACCAGACCCTGATCGTCGACAACGCGGTCTCCTTGACACTCAGCACCGATTCTCTCCAGGTCGTCGGTTAGCTTCCCCAAAAAGCTCGTCGGATAAGTTTTTATCGCTGACGATTACAATAGATAATCGAACCTCTAGCAAACCGGACCGGAGCTGCTGCGGGTTATACAAGAGTAAGCTGGGACCCTCCGCCCTCCCGGCGATCGCGATAAAGTCAATCGTGATGGCATATCTTATTTATTTTCAGTGGGGCTAATTGATTTCTGTGCATTTTTAGAGGAGAAGACGAAAACAACCCACGCAATCTCCTTATACAACGTCCTTGACGCCGAAGTGACTGCCTCGTCCCTGGCCGTCACCTACGCCCAACATTCGACGAAGAATGATGTCTCCGTGACCTCCCTCCACTACCCTATAACCGAGAAAGAAAAGCCTGCGGTCGAAGCATGGACTGAAAGACTTCTTGCGCTCTCATACGGTACTTCCCAGCGTAGAAGGCGCCTAAAAGTCTTGATCAACCCTTTTGGTGGAAAAGGAACCGCTGCGAATCTCTACCAGACATATGCAGCACCGATTTTTGCCGCGGCGCGATGCCAGGTTGATGTGCAGACCACCGAACATCGCGGACACGCCATTGAAATCGCGGAACAGCTTGACCTCGACGCGTATGACGCGATCATATGTTGCTCAGGTGATGGTCTACCATATGAAGTCTTTAACGGCCTAGGTAAACGGCCCAATGGCCGGGAAGCGTTGGCTAAAATGCCAGTTGCGCTGCTTCCTTGTGGCTCCGGCAATGGCATGACATGGAACTGTCTTGGCACAGAAAGTGTCTCCGTGGCATCATTGGCACTCATCAAGTCATTTCGAACACCCCTAGATTTGGTCTCTGTCACTCAGAAGAACACTCGCACGCTGTCCTTTCTTTCACAGTCCTTTGGTATTGTCGCCGACTCAGACCTGGGCACTGATAACATTCGATGGATGGGCGCTCAGCGGTTCACTTATGGCTTCTTGGTTCGCCTGATGCAACGCACGATCTACCCTTGTGATCTGGCAATCAAGGTCGAGATGGGTGACAAGAGGGCCATTAAGGACCATTACAGATCCTATGTATCCCAAGAATATGACCCCCTGGCGGATCCCATCCGAGTCGAGGCTGCAAGCCAGTCACCAGCACTACCTGAACTTGAATATGGCACTGTTGAAGATCAAGTCCCCAAGGACTGGGAAGTTGTGCCAGGCGAACACATGGGCAACTTCTATGCGGGTAACATGGCTATCATGTCCAAGGATACTAGCTTTTTCCCTGCCTCCCTCCCAGGCGATGGGTTGATGGACATCGTCACAATCGATGGAACTGTTAGTCGCACTACCTCGATCAAAATGATGAATGAGATTCCTACGGGAGGATTTTTCGACATGGCAGATGTGAATATTCGCAAAGCCAAGGCATTTCGCCTGGTGCCGCACGAAAAAGACGGCTATATAAGCATTGATGGTGAGAAGGTGCCATTCGAGGCGTTCCAGTGCGAGATCCACCAAGGACTTGGTACAACGCTCACCAAGTCGGGCCATAAGTATGAAGCCGAAGGGCCGAAGTGATTCTCGTCTCTTTCGTGCTAGCTCATCGTCGCGCTCATCTGCCCCAATGTCTTCCCCAGTCTTTTGCTATCCCTTCATGATACCCTTATGCAAGAGAGATCTGGTCCTTTGATGATGTATATTTTTCGGTGTCTGGGAGACGGTTAGTACTTTCCTTTATTGCGGGACCTTGCTTTTTGCAAGACCACTTTTTCGTCGAGCCGGACGCAGTCTATATTCCGCGCTTCAACTGTACAGTTCCAGATTATCGTAATAGATGATATCAATATATTTTTATGTCATGCGGCACTCATCATGGTAACCGAAATCCCTTGGTAGTAGCATCATAAACTGCCAGTGGGGAGAAGACAGTCATCTGCATGTAAAGGCCCAGGTGAAAGATTGGAATAACTTTACATTTTGCCAATACCATCCAGTTATCGCTATAAAAATGCTGTACAAAAGAAGTTCTCAGACCCAGATCGATCGATTATTAGTCAAAACCACCCCACTCGCCATCGCTGTCCACCTCGTCGTCCTCATTGACCTTGGGAGCACGAATTCCCCACTCAACGAGACGATCATCCTCCAACGCCTCGGTAGCCCGTGTCCGAACAGGCTTGTAGGGGCTCTCAGTACGAAGCTTCTCCAGCGGTCTCAAAATGAGCTCCATGGGAATATCGCCCTTGATCTTCCGATTCGCAACTCCATCTTCGGCGATCTCGCCATCTTCGAATTCAAGAACCTTCTCCAACTCGTCAACCCAGATGTCGACAATATGGTAGCGCAGACCATCCGGTCCGTGTGGCATTGCCACAAAGTCCGACTCCTCATCATCGGAATCCTGATCCGGGTCAAAGTTCACAGGGTGAAGGGGGCCTTCCTCAATAAGAGAGATATAGGCGGAAAGATCAGCCCACTTCCCATCTTCATCTGTAGCCTCCTCCTCCTGGGCTGGCTCGCTCTCCTCCTGCTTCTTTTGCTTCTTGCCACGGCCCTTCTTGCCGGCATCTTCACGTTTGCGCTTCTTGTCGTCACCTTTTTTCGAGCTCTTCTTTTCCTTCACGAAAATTTGGAATGCGACTCCGACATAGCAACGGATCAGGAAGAGGTACTTGTCCAGGCGCAGTCGGTCGATGGAGTGATAATCGCGGCCAATGGTGATCCAAAATGCGCGCAAAAATCTGTGGAGAGTGGCATGGGGAAGAGATGTGACGAGGTGGTAGGAGAGTGCGCGGGCGAGAGCTTGTTGCGTGAGAGGTCGATCGGAGTGATAAAAGCCTGCGGTCAACCATTGTAAGTCAATCATATTTTGTGTGATCGATCTGCCAACACTTACAGAAGAATAGACCCTTCCAAAGCTTCAAAAGATCAAGAACACTCAAATCCGTGCGCGAGCTCAGGAATAGAGTGAGAGATTCGACAGCCTTGTCGCGAACCTTACGGTCTAGACAAACCAGTTCGTTAGCAATCCATTTTTGATGTGTTACACCAACATAAAATTAGATATTATCATACCGCTAGAGGCGAGGTCCTTCACGAAGGGAGTCTTTTGAACGTCCGCCATTGTCTGGTGTGTTGTCTGGGTAGAGCGGCGTCAAATTGATCTCCGCGATAAATTATTTTTTTTGGCTGATAGCAGTTTGCACTGTTTGCACCATACTTGGGTGTTGGTGCCTCAGGTGTCAACTTCTTGTATCGCCTACAACTCCAACAACCTCATCCCAATTTCGCATCGTTCCAGAACAATTACAAGTTTCAGACCAACCTGCTGCTGATATATTTTGCTTCCAAGCACCACTGCAGAGACCCGAGGTGCTATTGTGCCCACCGCGAAAATGACCGCATTCGGAAATCGTCAAGTATGGAAATGTCTCCTGGCATCCGATAGATCGTGACATCATGACTAGAGATCGCATCGAATGAGATCTTAGGATACCCTGGCCCCAGTGTGATCAATTATGGTTCAGGGCATTTTTGGGACTGCTTTGGAGAGGTCAGCTACCATTGAAATTTGCATATTTTCGGGTCCCGAGGTCCTTCTTCACCTGCTGCACTAACTTCACACCAGAGACTTTTCAGATCAAAGTTGCTCCGGTGGTGTCGAGCCTGCATATCGACGCTCGAGATCATGCCTGAGCAAAATGAGGACTGCGGCATCGCTGAGACGAATGCTTCCTCCAATGGAGCGGAGCGCGTTTCGCGATCGAGTTCTGAAGCCCTACCCGAGGAGCAGCGAGTATTCGAGCATATCCCACCTGAAGATCGCGAAGAGCTTTCCCGAATTGCTTCCAACTTTCCTCGACATCGAGCTACCGATTCCGGAGTTGGGAGTATGGGCGGAATTGAGCGCAAGGACACACTGGAAGATGTTGAACTAGGTGATCCTGTCCTTGACCCAACCAGCGACCAATTCGACCACTACAAATGGGCCCGCATGGTGCTTAAAATGATGGACAAGCAAGGAGTATCTTTGCGCAAGTCCACAGGAGTCGTCTTTCAAAACCTCAACATCTCCGGCTCCGGTGCTGCTCTCCAGTATCAGAATAACGTGGGCTCTGTCCCCCTAGCCCCGTTCCGACCCCAGGAATACATCTCCTTGGGGAAATGTGTTCCTCAGAAGCAAATCCTGCGAAACTTCGATGGTGTTCTTCAAAGCGGCGAGCTTCTGATCGTTCTTGGACGCCCTGGTAGCGGATGCTCGACCTTTCTCAAATCTTTGTCCGGGAATTGCACGGATTAAAAGTTGGAGAAAGCTCCGACGTTCAGTACAATGGTATTCCGATGGAGACGATGCATAAGGAATTCAAAGTATGCTTACCTTATTGCAGCCTCTGGGCCTTTTTGCTAAACATTTCCCTCTCCATATAGGGTGAAGTTCTTTACAACCAAGAGGTCGATCGCCATTTTCCTCATCTCACTGTCGGACAAACTCTCGAATTTGCTGCCGCTGCCAGGACACCTGAGAATCGGCTTCAAGGAATCAGCCGGGCAGCCTATGCCAAGCATATTACTCAGGTAGCTATGGCCGTGTTGGGGCTGAGCCATACTTACAACACCAAGGGTGAGACGAAATGTTCAATCTCTACGATTCTTACGCTCATGATTCTTCTAGTTGGCGATGATTACATTCGAGGTGTTTCAGGAGGCGAACGAAAGAGAGTCAGGTAGGTCAAAATCTCATAGACTCCCATTATAGCAAGCGCTAACAATTCAAAATAGTATTGCCGAAATGGCCTGTAGGTTCCTTCTACTATCACTTTCCAAAGCAAGGCAAATTTTGACGAACTTTTCTAGTGGCAGGAGCTCCTGTTGGTGCGTGGGATAATAGTACACGAGGGTTGGATTCAGCCAGCGCATTGGAATTCGCCAAAGCTCTACGAGTCTCTGCCAATCTCACCGGCAGTAGCCACGCTGTTGCCATTTACCAGGCATCCCAAGCGATCTATGATGTTTTCAACAAGGTCATTGTGCTTTATGAAGGTCGAGAGATCTTTTTCGGCCCATGCAACAAGGCCAAAGAATACTTCATCGAGATGGGATGGGACTGCCCGTCTCGTCAAACGGTCGGAGACTTTTTGACATCGGTGACAAATCCACAGGAACGAAAAGCTCGTGAAGGGATGGACAATCAAGTTCCACGCACCCCAACGATTTCGAACAATATTGGAAGAAAAGTCCTCACTATGAACAGCTCAAGAAAGAGATTCTAGAGTATTGTGAGGAGTATCCTGTTGGCGGGGAAGCCGAAAAGGACTTTGATGCCACAAAAAGATTACGCCAGGCAAAGCATGTTCGACCAAAAAGCCCATATGTCATTTCTATACCCATGCAGGTCAAACTCTGTGTGAAACGAGCTTATCAGCGCATCTGGAATGATAAGCCGTCTACGTTGACAACCGTCATTGGGCGTATCTTCATGTCTCTCATTATCGGTTCAATTTACTTCGGAACCCCAAATGCATCTGCAGGATTTCAAAGCAAAGGAGCTGCGCTTTTCTTCGCCGTCCTCATGAACGCCTTGATCAGTATCACAGAGATCAACTCACTCTATGATCAACGCCCTATCATAGAAAAGCAAGCATCGTATGCTTTTGTTCATCCTTTCACTGAGGCTCTCGGCGGAATTGTCGCAGACATGCCCGTCAAGTTTGTGTCTGCCATTGTGTTCAACATCATCTTTTATTTCCTGGCCAGCTTGGTAAGTCACGAAAGCCTCCGAATGACATTCTAATATACTAACTATGGCATAGCGATATGAGCCCTCCCAGTTCTTCATCTTCTTTTTGTTCACCTTCCTCAGTACCCTTGCGATGTCCGGTATTTTCCGCACCCTCGCTGCCTCAACAAAAACCCTGGCCCAAGCAATGTCTATGGCAGGTGTCATCGTTCTCGCAATCGTGATATACACAGGCTTTGTTATCACTGCACCCGAGATGGCGAAAGTTCCTTGGTTTAGCTGGATTCGTTGGATAAATCCGGTCTTTTACACCTTTGAAGCCCTGGTGGCAAATGAATTTCACGGTCGTCGATTCGAGTGCTCCCAGTTCATCCCTGGATATCCGAGTTTACCCGGGACTCTTTCATCTGTGCTGTTCGTGGTGCTGTTGCTGGAGAAAGAACCGTCTCCGGAGATGCATATATTCAAACCCAGTATTCCTACTCATACGCGCATGAGTGGAGAAATCTCGGTATTCTTATCGGTTTTTGGATATTCTTTATTTCATTGTATCTTATCGCCTCCGAACTTAATTCCTCGACATCTTCGACCGCCGAATTCCTTGTGTTCCGTCGTGGCCATGTACCGGCTCATCTACGCAATTTGGAACAGGGCCAGGGTGATACCGGTGCAGGGGAAGCAGCTCCAAAACCCAAAGAGAAAGAGAGAGATACTTCTGTTATTCCGTCACAGCATGACATATTCACGTGGAGAAACGTATGCTATGATATACCAGTGAAAGGTGGTGAACGCCGACTTCTTGATCATGTCTCGGGCTGGGTAAAGCCAGGGACACTCACAGCATTGATGGGAGTTTCGGGTGCTGGAAAGACCACACTTCTTGACGTTCTAGCTAAGCGTGTTTCCATTGGAGTTGTTACTGGCGATATGCTTGTGAACGGTAAACCTCTGGACTCCAGTTTCCAGAGAAAGACAGGCTACGTTCAGCAACAAGACCTCCATCTACCCACCACAACAGTAAGAGAGGCTTTGAGGTTTAGCGCAGTTCTCCGCCAGCCCAAGACAGTATCAAAGAAAGAAAAGTATCACTATGTCGAGGATGTTATTGAGATGCTGGGCATGCAGGACTTTTCTGATGCGGTCGTGGGTACTCCTGGAGAGGGATTGAACGTGGAACAGAGGAAACTCCTCACTATCGGTGTTGAATTGGCTGCGAAGCCTGCGCTGCTGATATTTTTGGATGAACCCACCAGTGGCCTTGATTCTCAAAGTTCTTGGGCAATCTGCTCCTTCCTGCGAAAGCTTGCAGAGCACGGTCAAGCTGTCCTCTCAACGATCCACCAGCCTAGCGCTCTTCTATTCCAACAATTCGACCGACTGCTATTTCTGGCAAAGGGAGGAAGGACCGTTTATTTTGGCGAAATTGGTGACCAATCTCGAACTCTCTTAGACTACTTTGAGAGCAACGGGGCACGAGCTTGTGACTCGTCAGAGAATGTAAGGATATTGAAGTTGCCTAATCCCATTCCTGCTCTATGCTAATATGAAATCAGCCTGCTGAATACATGCTTGAAATTATTGGTGCTGGTGCTTCAGGAAAGGCCACCAAGGATTGGGCTCTGACTTGGAATGAAAGCCAGCAAGCCAAGGGAATCCAAACTGAGATAGATCGCATTCATGATGAGCGTGCATCTGCCGCGGGAAGCACATCAGAGGGGTCCCAGGTTGGTGAGTATGCGATGCCATTCACATCCCAACTCTGGTATGTGACGCACCGGTCGTTCCAGGGATTCTGGCGCGAGCCATCCTATGTATGGGCGAAAATTATGCTGGCCACTATGTCCTCACTCTTCATTGGGTTTACCTTCTTCAAGCCGGATAGCTCGCTACAGGGCTTTCAAGATGTGCTTTTCAGCGCATTCATGCTGACTTCGATATTTTCAACATTGGTTCAACAGTAAGTAGAACACCCATATCGATTCTGCACTGAGACTTACTGAAACACTTTCACTAGAATCATGCCCAAATTCGTTGTCCAGCGATCACTCTACGAAGTCCGTGAAAGGCCTTCAAAAGCATATTCTTGGGCCGCCTTTCTCATCGCCAATGTAGTTGTCGAGATTCCATACCAGATTTTCATTGGTATAATTGCCTGGGCCTGCTACTACTTTCCCATCTATGGAGCAAACCAAGCCCCACATCGACAAGGTCTCATGCTCCTCTTTGTGGTACAATTTTACATGTTCACCTCGACTTTTGCTTCATTCGTGATCTCAGCACTACCAGACGCCGAGACGGGTGGAACAATTGCCACACTTTTGTTCATCATGACCCTCACATTCAACGGTGTCATGCAACCACCAAGCGCGCTACCTGGTTTCTGGATTTTCATGTACCGAGTTTCCCCTCTAACCTATCTAATCGCGGGTCTCACTTCGACTGGTTTGCACGGCCGACAGATCCATTGCTCTGATGCTGAGCTGAGCGTTTTCAATCCCCCCCACTGGTTTGAATTGCGGTGAATACTTGAACCAGTACGTCACTGCTGCCGGCGGGCAGCTTTACAATCCGGAAGCCACGACTAGTTGTCAGTATTGTCAGCTATCAAATGCCGATCAGTATTTGGCAGCTAGCAATATTTGTGAGTATTGAGAATATTCTTTGATTGCTTCTCGACTCGACTAACTGAATCCTGTAGTCTACAGCGAACGCTGGCGCAATTTCGGAATCGGCTGGGCTTACATCGGCTTCAATATCTTTGGTACCGTCATGATGTACTATATGTTTCGCGTCAAGCACTACAATCCCACATCTTTGGTTCGTGGAGTTCGACAGGGTGCTTCCTTCCTGTGCCGTGTGTTTAAGCGGCGCTCTGGAGAGACACCTAAAGGGAAGGAAGCAGACAACGGCCGACTTGTTTAGACCTTGTCTTTGGGAGGAAGAATTGTCAGGACATTGCTTATCAACATCTATTTTCATTACTCTCGATTTCTAACCAGGAGTTGATCAATAAATAAAATTATCTCTCATGATCAGCATCCAATATCCGCTGTATACCAGTACGAAGAAACTTCACATACCCTCTAAGCCTCCTGGTCCCAGAACTTCTTTGACAGCACCTTCAATGTAAGGGTGCCACCTTTTATCCAATATCCGGGAAATTGATGCAGTCAAAATGGCGGGTCGTTCCCCAATGTACCAGCAGTCCCCAATTTGATTTAATATCACACAGTAATGTGCAAGTAGAATGAGTGCCCCGGGGTGCTTTTCCGATGTCAAGGTGAAAAATCCCTGCTCAATGCGCACCGGCCAGGTTCCAAGTATACTCCACGCAGTTAAACCAATGGTCCTCTTGGCGCGATCGACATATGCGAATGACTCGGCCAAAAGGTTCGCTGCATGGTGATACACCCGTGTGCTTTCTTCTGGCCAGGCATCCTCCTCGGGGATAATAGACAAGAAAAAGTCCAAATGAGATTGTTTTTCTTCATCGCTAACATCCAAGTTCCTCTCCCAGGCATATGCCAAAATGCTGGCGCGACCACTTTCAATTCTGTGCCAGACATCTTTAAGCATATAACAGCCAGTGCGAATAAAATGTAGCCAGGGAGGGATGATCTGCTGGGTGTCGGATGGGCTGGCATCAATTATAAGGAGGGGATTGTTGGACTGTTCAAGGTCGGTTGCTAGGGAGTATACCACGAGGAGATAGGCAAATGCCATAATTGCGTCGCAATTATCCTCTGTTGGGCTCTCAATGGCTTTGCGGAACTCAGGTATAGCAGCTTCTTGGTGGGAGCATCCTCGAAGTGTGTACTTCTGGCGCTCGGCTGGATTTGAATGTGCCATGTGCAAAGCCGTGCAGGCTAGCATTCCTTGTAAGAGAAACTTGTTATCACAAGTAAGACCTGGTACGACTTCAATCCAGACATTCTCGGTTTTCTTGTTGGCCACAAAGGTTTTGTATGAAGAGTCGAAATAATGTCTCAGCAATTGAGAATCAAGCGCATCTAGGTGGTACTTTTCTTGTAGACTTTTTACCAGTGACGTCTCGGGCTGCTGATCTTGGGTGAATGCAGCCTCTCCGGGTTTTGCTATTTGACCTGATTTATCCCGGGTGTTCTGGAGTTGACGTTGATTCTGTCCGGTGAAGTAGCGTAGCATTCTACCGCGAAAAAATGTCTGCAGCAATGTGAAATGCCAGTCAGTCTCCGGGTTGCCCTTCCTGGCATGAACTGCTGGCCAGTGATTTTCCATTCGTTTATTCGAAGCGCACAGATAATTGCAGCCCGGCGCCAAACATCTCCATCCCTTCTCGACTGGCAACTGCGGTATAGGGAAATCGTCTGGAAGAGGCGACTGCACTTCCTCTGGTCTCTTAAGCTTCAGTTCCTTCGTATATGCAACATAAGGGCGTCTCTTCTCATGATGAAGATGATGAATATCTTTGAGATGACGCCGGATCGCTCCAGGCTGGATCGCATAGTGACAAGTGATGCAGATCAACACGCCGTAATCGGGCCGATGGTGGAACAACTCCGATGGAGCCAACCCCTTCTCCTTTTGGGCTTGAAATCTCTTGGTATCTCCGGTTCCTTCCAGGCTCTTCTGTCGGAGCATGGTGAAACTGAGCTTTTGTGCAGGAATCAAGTCGAGGCTGATTGTGATGGCGCATGATGGCGAGGCCAACAACGCTCTTACGCTAACCCGAACCGGAGCGTCGATTACTCTTTTGGGAGAGAAATGACGGTCCCGTTCGGGCTAGTGTTCTCCGAGGCTTATTGATTCGTGATTTACTTTCTTTACTTTACGAGTTTTACTAATATCTTCGGATTTTATTTTGGCATCTCCGTACGGGAAGGGGGAGGGGGATCTGTGGATATAAGTATCCAGGGAATGTCGTCGGAGTCCTCTATTTTATTCTTCTCAGACTACATCCGAGCATTCAAACTTCTCAATTGCGATTCCATTCAACCCTTCAAATACATCTTCCAAGGTTACTATTACTCCTTCAGTTATCTATGATGTCGGCCAACTTTGAAGGCTCTGTACTTGTGACTGGCGGCACTTCTGGCCTGGGCTACGAATGTGCATTGGACATCGCCCGCAAACACCCAGAGTATCAGATCATCATCGCTTCGAGATCAGATGCAAACTCCGCGGCCAACACAATCAACAAGACTCTCAATCAGAACAATGTTCAATTTCTTCCCCTCAATTTGCTCCAACTGGCCAAAGTCCGTTCATTTGCCTCGGATTGGAAATCTCATAACTTCCCACCGATACAATCAATGGTTCTGAACGCAGCCTTGCAATTTCCGGGAGATGTCGAGTACTCCGATGACGGATTTGAAAAGACATTTGCCGTCAGCCATATTGGCCACGCTCTCCTCCTATCCCTTTTACAACCTTACCTCGCCGATACCTCCCGCATCGTCATTGTATCGAGTGGAACGCATGATCCCCTGCAAAAGTCAGGCATGCCCGACGCCATCTACAACTCTGCTGAGGAGCTTGCCCATCCTACCCTGGAATCGGCAAAGGCAAATGGTCGCCAGCGCTATTCTAGCACCAAGTTGGCCAACGTCCTATACACCTATGCCCTAGATCGCCGCTTCGAAGCCATCAATAAGAGATATGGAAAGAAGTGGACAGTCACTGCATTTGATCCTGGTCTGATGCCCGGCACAGGACTAGCGAGGAAAGCAAGTGTCGTTGAGAAATTCCTTTGGTCGCGGGTTTTGCCTCATATTCTGCCGCTCCTGCGCCTCTTGATGTATTCGAATATTCATACCGTGCAGGAATCTGGGCAAGCACTGGCTAGACTGGCGGTTGGTTTAGATGTTGAGGGATCTAGCGCTGTCTACTATGAGGGCATGAAGGTCATTAAGTCTAGCCAAGTGAGTTATGATCAGGCGAAACAGGAAGATTTGTGGGAATGGACAATCAGCACTTTGGCTTCTGGAGATAAGGAGAAGGCCTCGTTCGAGTTTATTGATCTTGTTTAGGCGGGTTCAAGTTCGAAATGTACTAGTAGTGGTAATCTAGATTGAACACAGAGATATATATCCTTTTTAGTACATCAAATCATGAGAAACCTTCAAGTTAGAAACAGACCCATATTTTTGCTGGCGAACCTGACAAATTGAATTTCCCCAGGCTAATGAGAGTCAAACTGTACTATATGTGGATAATTTGAGACTTTTTATAGACTATAATGTAGCGTTCAACAAAGTTGAATGTGATTTGCTTAATTCTACCAAGTAAGATTAATTTTAGAAGAAGTGGTGATTCATAGATCCAACTGTGGAGCCAAACTATATCAACTAGCATCATTGGTCTAGTGGTAGAATTCGTCGTTGCCATCGACGAGGCCCGTGTTCGATTCACGGATGATGCATTCCTTTTTGTAATCCTTCTTTTTTGTCCTCCAGGTCTGGATTCTCAGTGGCAGATTTTTTTTTTTGCTGCCGAGATTTGATAAATGACGAAGATACCTTGGTTCTACCGGGAAAACTTCATGGCAGCCTTGCATCAAGTGGCCGAGCTTCCCAGATTATGTGCCATCGGGGTAATAGTAGTATGAACTGTGAGCGAGCGAGCGAGCTACAATCGCAAAAACTCCAGTGAAAATGAGTAGACAATTCATTTTGCAGATTGACATCAAAGATCTCATCCTAGGTTAAACATCAAATGTGAGATAGCCTAATGTAGATAGACAGGAGTTGAGAGACATTAGATATAAAAGCGGGAGACTTCCAAGAAACGGATGAAAGGGAAGACTGGGGTATTATGCAAAAATCGAGAAAAATGATGACGTGCGCCAAACGCTTGAGACCAAAAGAAGGACGAGAGCGGGTAAAATGAAGACAAGACGGGAATCAAGGTACCTTATGCCAGGCCCTTTTGCTGTTCCGTTTCCGAGAAAATGCCGCCCGATTAAGTGGAAAATCAGAATGAAGGGCGGGTCACAACAAAGGCGTTAATAAGATCGCTGCTTTGCCAACCTTGATCAGGAAGTGATTCATGCTCCTTGAGCATGTGGCCAAGATATGCAATTCGAACCCGTTGGAGATTGGATAGCTGCGAACGATTAGAATGAGATCCACAATCCAAGACAATTCTTTTTGTACACACCTCTCCTTCCTGATGTATCTTGCGAGCCAGGAAGCCCACACTCTGGCTCTTGCCTATCAACAGTACAAGGTCTGGCCCACCGCGATCACTCAGTCGGACCTGGACGCTGATGAGGTCTCGCTCACTCGTCTTGCCTTTCTCATCGCGGCGCCGTTCCAGGTCCTCGGATATCAACTCGTCACCCGACGCATCGTCTGTCGCAAGCTTGCCATCCGATAGGGCCTCGGTATCATCATCCTGCCCGATATCATCTCGTGACTGGTCTCCCGTTGATGAAGCGTCCTGGACCATATTTTCCGGGTCACTGACGATACACTGTGGCAGGCGATACAGTGCACCTTGTTCATCGTAGCATCCCTCACATAAATCACCGGTGGGGACAGTGACGCCCGCAGCGTCGACAATACCCTGCGCCGTGGAGAGATCACCGGCGCGCATCAGCGTGATAGCCGTTGAAAGCGCAGCCCATACCTCCTGGCGACCGGTCACTCTCGTCTCGAAGAACTCGCGACGCTCGCGGTCCAAGTCGTCCCGAGTCCAGGCGCGCCGCTTGCTGTACCAGACATGTAGGCGGACGGGCTCATTGTAGTGTTGGTTTAGGGCGACATTTGTAGGTCTTACCCGGCGGCGACCGGTCTGTGAATACGCAGAGGGATCGCTGGCCGTACTGCGTGTTACCTGCGATCGACTGTCCTGGATTTCCCGGTCGTCTTGGGATTCATCATCACGCGACGGCACGGACGCGCAGCAACCCTATCGGGAAGCGGGTGGAGATGTTAGCTGAGGCTCTGCGACATGATTTTCCGCAGTGGATATGCGCCCAGTATGCCCAGATTATTGTCCGCCGAGGATGAGACGTGAGTCGTGTGACAGGGCGGTGGTCTGGGCGATAGCTTCGAGGCGGGGGATTATTGCCCGAAGGCAAGACTTGAACTTGAAAGGGACGTACCATTTTTGAATGCGATATGGACACTCCATAAGCCGGGGAGAAGGGCGAAGAGAGAATGGACAGGAGGGGTTGAAGGTGGGACGATGATCCAAGCTCCAATCCTTAGCAAAATGGCAAAATGCGGAGTCGTCAACCAGAGGGGGGAAAAGAAGGTCAAAATGGGCGAGGAGTCGGAGAGAGGGGGAACTTGGAACTTTCAACTCGCAGGAAATGCGCCCCGGCCCCCCCAGGCACATTCCACGGGCTGCACCGCTGCTTAACTTTGGAATCAAGCATTGATGATGTCAAGCCGATTCGCGGTGTTTTTGTCTTTTTCGCTCAGATGCACTGTCGTCGTACAGCGTACTTTGCTTACCAGAGGTACGACAGTATTGATCGAACATGGGTGTTTCCGTGCAATAGTTATTTTCTTGCGCTACTGTACTACTCTATTTGAAGCATATCGATTGTCTTCATTTATTTTAGTCCTCATCTTCGTTGTCACTGCCAAAAATGGCCTTGAAGACATCATCACGCGGTCGCTCGGATGTGAGCACATCATTACGTGTCAGCTCTATTGCGTGCCAGACACTATACAGTACATAAAGACAACAGTAATAGTTACTTGAAGAGCCCTAACATATTACTTATAGTACTGAATACCTAGCTCTCTCTATTTAAAATAGCTTGGTAAGAAAGCCGATTTGGTACCTGAGTATGTACTCCAGAACCTGCCCATGCATAATTCCACCATGTGAGCTTGTCAAAGTTATGCCTTTTGTTACCCTAGCTTTTTCTATGAGACTTTGGAAAGAGGTATTACTCGTGGAAAGGAATGGGTTGAGAATAGCCTGAAGGTCCTTTTTGTATTTTCTCATAAGACAAAACAAAGCATGGACTCGGACATAAACATAAAATCAACACCCCCGCCCTCCCCACCTCCCTTGCCAGAAAATAGCATCAAATAGCAGGATAGGATCGCTGAACCACTTTCTCCATTATTTTCAATCTGATCATTCCCACCGGGGCTGGACTAAGTGTCACTAGAAGCGTTCTCGAGGGCGGCGGCAGGGGAGAGGATATATTTGAACTTGTCCCCTGGCCGAAGGTTGAAATGTCAGCTTCCGTAGCTCCACTGGCATGTTCTACACAATTATTGTTAGTATTCATTAACTTCGACAAGATAGGATCGAATAAATGAGACTTACCTCATTATTAGGGGCCTCGAGTCGGATGATTCTCAGCTCCGCGACATCAGTCGATGTGAACCTGGCGTGGGTACGATGCAAGTTCCGGTATCCTTGGTAGTCACGGTATGCACGACACTGAAAGAAAAGCTCGAGGCAGGGATCAGGACACTCAGTGTCCGTAAGGAACGAACAATGGATGTATGAGCGGTGATCAGTGGGAAGCGGAAGCCCAGTGAGGAAATGACCATCATTCGTGACGAGGCCGCAGGAAATCAAGGCGCGATTGTCGCCGAGCGCCATGGTGTCAGGGCGTTAAGTGAACAGATGGGAATAAAGGCGTTGAGAAACACCAGGGTGATAAAAATGTTAAGAGAGAGAAGTGGAAGAGGGTGATGGGGGTAATGAGGGAGTGGAAAGAGCAGGAAGAGAAAGAATAGAAGACTCGGCGGTTTCGTGAATTGGTGAATTGGTGAATTGGTGAATGGTGAATGGTGAATGGGGGTGCTGGAAAAGAGCAAGGCAGTCACCCGACCAGGCAGGAGTAAACAATAGTGACAAGACTGGGAAAGTGGAAAATGGAGTTTGGGGGTCATTGACCCAATCAAAGTGTGTAGCAGAGCTACGACACTAAGAAAAAGGGACCGTCTCGCAACTGTTCAAGTTGCGGCCAAGCCACAAGAAACCCCAGGAGAACTGTGACCTGAACTCCTGGGGGGCGAGGTTTAGAAGGGGGGACTCGGGAGCTTCGAATTCGACATTCATGGGCGTGACGTGGGGGAAGAGAAGAGTAAAAAGGCTGGCCCCCTGGTAGGGAGGTGCCAGTGGGAGGTGAGAGGAGGAAGGAGGAAGGAAGGTGAAAGACAGAATAATAGTAGTACTATAGGCCCCAGGTATTTATTAGTCACCCGATCAGGCAGTAACGCGCGAGGCATGGTGGTCGGGGAAGATAGTTACCTCCTATGGTAGGATACTGGGTAGGATACTGGTAGATATCTGATTGTATAATGTTTGAATCTCCAATGCTGCCATCTGCTGGCTCGATTGCGGCTATGGACCGCCGTGATCTATTTAATACAAAGGTGGTATAAATACAGGATATAATTGTCGTCATCGATTTTAGTCCTCGTCCTCATCTTCGTCGTCACTGCCGAAAATGGCCTTGAAAACATCATCGCCAGGTCGCTCGGCTTCGAGTGCATCGTTGCGTTCGGGTTCTACAACCGGAGGAGGGACAAAGGCATTCGCTTGTTTTTGCCCTGTGGTCTCAGAGTTGGTAGAAGCAGGCCCACGGCCTGTTTCCGCCATGATCATATCCATCACGTCTTGTGAGATCAGTTCCCTGGCCTTGGTGTCGGTTTGAGAGCCACCAGGCTGGAAGCGTGATCCAGAACCTGACTCGGAAGCCGCTGGTGGTTCCCCAGGATCTAATTGAACATGTGAGGGGGGCTTGATATTGAATCGCTTGCAAAGAAGACGCGATGGATAGAAGGATGTAGTGCTTCGGGTCATTGGTCCGAACATGCCGATCTTAGCAGCTGCCACGGCCGGGTCGTCCGGTTTCTCATTGGGCCGACTCAGTGGGTCGTCATTGGAGTCGGGTGCATCTGAAGCAACCTTGGGCCCCGAGGAAGCTGACGTGAATCGGGACGCCATGATATTAGACATGGGTTTGAAGACCTCCGCAGCACGCGCAAACTCATGCATCTCGTTGACCCAATCATCGGTGCTGGACCCTTGCAACCGGTCCGGAAGGGTGTCGCGTATCTCTGCCCGAACCTCGAGGAAGTTGCGATAACGTGCGCGTTTCTCCTCGTCTTCCGAGTAGGGCATCCATCCGCTGACAGCCCGAGTTAAAGCCTGGACAGCTGTCTGTTTGTCTAATTTTGGAACTAGATCCCACAGGTCTTTTCGTTTTTGCGAATCTGACATTTCATAGCCCTTTGGAGCACCTTCGCTGAGGGCGGGAGGTAGATTGGCATTGCCAGTGAGCTTCGCAATCCGCTCGCGAGCCTCGGGGGTCATCCAATCGAAAACGGATTTCCCAGGTAGTTGGGTCTCGCCTAGGACTGCAGCTCGGGATGTAGGATCGAGTATTGATGATTTGGCGGCATCCGCCGTGGAGACATAATCTGAAGTATTTTGGTCATTAGATGTTGGTTGCTTGGCAGACTTCCAGCCCTCAGGAATCGTGGGAGGGTCGTATTTCTTGTCAGAAATGGCAAGGCCGGAAAGACCATCGGCAAGGACGAAACCGTCCAGCGGTAAGCGTCCATCGCGGCATTTTCTGAATCCTCCAGCTCCTCGAGCGGCAACGACCTTTTTGGAAATGAAAACAGGCTTTTCGCCGAGCAGGGGGTTCGAGGAGGCGATTGTAGGTTTCCCTTCGTCTGCTCTGCTTTTCTTCTTCTTCTTCTTATCCCCCACCAATGGTTTTATTATAAGAGATTTGAGGCCCTAGGGAGTAAGGATCTTCGTCGTCGGATCCAGTGTCGTTGAGGATACCGACTCCAAGACCCCCTCGACGCGGTTGTTTGGTCTTGGGTAATTTGGCGGATTTTGTTTGGTCGGCAAGACGGCCGCCAAAGAACGAATCTGCCTCTTCGGGTTCCTCTTGTGAAGTCTCTTGAGGTGCTAGTCGTGACTCTCCTGCAAAGCCCAGGCCCTTGTTATCGGATTTTCGGACGAATGTGACCATCGGCGGATTCTCAGGTGCGAAGAGATATGTCTTGTCGGCTCCCCCGCCACCTGGAGCCGAGGTATCGCCCAGGTCTGCCTTGCGTCGTACTTTGGGCCCAATTCCCTGGCCTTCACGCCATCCCATTTTCTTCAGAAGTTTAACACCCATTGTCTCGCCACCGGTTTTGAGTAAGTCCATGAGTCCCGTCCGTCGGGTGGGATCTGTGTCTGTGGAACCGAATCCAGCGAACCCCTCCGCGGTTTGTAAATTGCGCGACTCCTCCTGCTCCCTCAAATCTTCTTCGTCCATAAAATCCTCGGGTCGTTGCTGGGATTGTTGTTTCGCATCTTTCGCATCGCGGGCGCGGTTTTGGCGAGAGGAGACGAAAGTGGCCGGTGTCCACCCTTCTTTTGAGCCAACGCTGTTGAAATAGCTGGCGAGACAGATAAATGTAAGCATATGGACGTTAATAGGAGGTGGCCTTGGAACATACCCTGCACTGAAGCCGCCAGTAAAGGCGCCATGGAGGCGCTTCCTCCCCGCTCGTCGGTCACCTCTTGCTTCCAAACTGGCATGTACGAGCCATCATCACGCGCGGCTGAGTCCAAGGGGGGTAATGGTGTACCGTAGACAGCATACGGGGGTCGCAAGTCAGCCTGATCGGCCTCAAAGGTCGCGCGGGGACGCTTTGCCGCCATCCTTGAAGCTTTGGGAGCTTGCAAGGGAATGTTGAACGTGAATGCGGCGGAGCGGAGCAGGTGCGGTCATTTCCTTGGCGTGGCAGACCCACTCAGTCCATACTTTACCACCGTAGCCCTACGGAGTATACTTATATCTATACTTCTACCCCCACAAATAGTCGACAGTAACTATCTTATACTATTTAGTCGCAACGCTTGCGGCTTGCGTGACTGGGAATTGGAGCTGACCAGTTTTCCGAGTCCACCAAAGCTTATCCCTCTTCGGCCCCCACACAAGCTGCGTGTGCAGACGGGAATGCTTCTTCTCATATTCCTCTCCTCCTTCACTCCACACAAATGGAACCATCCACATATTCTCTGCCTAGTCAGATATATAATAACAGCGACATCATGAGTGGCGATGCGACAAGACCATGGTCAGATCTCTCTAGCCCGGAATTATCTGGCCCCCGATCTCGCAGCTGTGCCCAATGTCGATCACGGAAAATCAAATGTGATCGCCAAATTCCTTGCACTGGTTGTGTCAGATCTGGATCCCAATGCATTTATCCTGCCGGACCTGGCAGGGCACCGAAAAGGCCTCGGAGGGTGGTTGATTCGCGTGTACTCGATAGGCTATCTCGCCTTGAAGTAATAATGAAACAAATGGGTAGTGGCAGAGGCCAGGATACTACTGAGAGGACTACTTCCACACAACCAAAGGAATCAACTACCCGAGTCGGACTGGAATCGAAGGATGAGTTGAGCACAGTTGATGAACAGCTTGGCCGACTGGTCATCGACGATACGCGAAGTTATTATGTGAGCAATAAGTTATGGGCAAACTTAACAAATGAGGTGAGTAATACTAGGGTTGATATGGTACCTATTCATGGTCAGCTAATCGCTACTGAGGTAGATCGAAGAGCTACGAGACTTGCTTTATGATCCAACATCTGACCATGAGGAAGGTCCTGACGACGATCTCAATCAAGCCGTACCGGACCCCACATTAAATATGGGCTCCAATGCCGCAATACTGGGATTCCAGACGATTGCTCCATCGATACGTCTTTACCACCCACCACTGTCGCAGTCGGTGGCCTTGGTGGAACTTTTCAAAGAGAGAGTTCTACCCCTGGTGCACATCTTTCATGCCCCGACACTGATGCGTGATTATTGGGATGCCATAGCTTCTCTCGATACTTTGGATCGAAATAGTGAGGCCTTGCTATTTGCTATCTACTATTCTACTGTCATCAGCATGGAATCTGAACAATGCGAGAGCGTTATAGGTGTTTCACGGGAGGTAGCTCTCAGGCATTATCAGTATGCGGTGCAGCAAGCCATGGCACGGGCCGACTTTCTCAACACCCAGAGTGTGACATTGCTTCAAGCCGTGGTCTTATTTTTATCTGCATTGCGAAATGTAGATGCCTCTCGTCGAACATGGTCCCTAACTGCACTTGTTTTCCACATTGCTAGAGCCATGGGCTTGCATCGCGATGGAACAGCCTTCGGACTACCGCCTCTTGAGACAGAACTGAGACGCCGTTTATGGTGGCACATATGCTTCCTTGATATACGATCCTCGGAATATCATGGATGCCAGCCAATAGTGCAAGACTCGGCATTTGACACTAAGACGCCACTCAACATTGATGATAGTGACTTGGTACATGGAATGAACGAGGCACCCATAGAACGCGAGGAGGCTACCGAAATGACATTTTGTCTTGTTCGCTGCGAAGTACTCCGCGTGGCATGGAAAACTAGCTACTTTTCCCCGAGCCAGATGTCTTCCAATGAACGCCAAGAAGAGAAAATACCTACAAACCCCGAGGAAATGGCAAAGAGTTTGACAGAGAAACTAGAGGAGCGATATATCAAACATTGCGACCCTAGTATCCCATTTTTGAAGTTATGCACGACTGTGGCGCGACTAATGATTAATCGTATATGGCTGGCAATTTACTACCCACCGAGACAGAAGCCTAGTTCGAGCTTACCTGCAGCTAGCAGAGACAAGATGTTTCTCACAGCAATCAGCATACTTGAATTCTCGACCATTCTCATTACCAGCCCCGAAGTTGCTCAATGGACGTGGCATTCGAAGACTCATATACAATGGCATGCAGTTGTGATTGTCTTGGCTGAAATCTGTTCACGCCCATCATCCCCTGAGTGTGATCGTGCTTGGGAGTGTGCAAATACAGTATACAACAGGTGGAACATGCGAAATGACAGGGCCAATAGCCTCTGGAGGCCAATAAATCGCTTAATGGCTAAAGCAAAATCTGTTCGGGGCACTCACATAAGTGACGAGCATGAAGCACACCTGAGGACGCCTGGCGTGGCGTCGGTGACATTCAACGACTTGGCGGTGGATATACCCTCGGACTTTCTGCTGGAACCACCTGAGATATTCCTTCACCCGGACTTCTTGAATGAGGCCCACGGGGACCTTGAGTCGATGTATAATGATTACACGATGGGCGATTGGTTTGCAGATGGCTGAAATTTCGGCTTTGGTGTGGATTAACTCCGGTACTGTGGATTTTCCGGAATCTGGGTCTAAAGGAACTGTGCCAAAAACAATGCTCTATTTCTGAATTTGGTAAAAGATCTAATAAAAGAAATCTAAAAGAATATCATGGACCCATAACCTCATCCCATATTAATTTCCCAGGCAATGTACAGGCACTACCAAGCCACAAAACCGACTTCAACTCAGTTTCAAAATCATCCCATATTGAAAGACCATGGCAGACTGTGTGAAGCTGAAGTCTGTCTACGAACCATTCTCTTTCTGAAGAACCTGTCGCGGCGATACCCCCAGAGTCAGTATCCACACATATAGACTGCGAGCTGATGGTGGAACTTCTTTGGCTTCCTCGTAATATGCCTGTAGCTCTATTTTCAACATTCGGCCGAGTGTCGCCAATGGAGCGCTTTGCGGAGGAAGGGGAAATGTCACTCCGACTCCGAAAATAATCAATGCAAGTCGGCATGCTTCATAAAGAGGATAAGTGCTGGCGTGCGAGGAGCCAAGCTGGGTTGATGGAAGCAGAGACATGATATGCCATTGTATGGTGTTTCGGTGGTCACAGAGCATATCAGTCCCGACTTGCATACCGTCTTCATACATCTCAACTTCAGACACATATGTACGATGACATTGAAAGATGGTTTTCATTTCGGGTGGCATATGAGTAGATTCGAAAGCATTGATATTGGGGTCAATGACGTCTTGTAAATCGATGAAGTCTCTAGTCTGGAGAGAAATATATGGAAAACATGGGCGGGAAAGAGATCGGCTCGCCCCCAACACACTGGAACTAAAGCAAGGAGCAAATTGTTAGCAGCTTGAATGAATTTCCGAGAATAGAAGAAAATTCAAACATACTAGGAAATTATGGCAGCCAGCCCTGGGAGTTCTATCTTGTCCAAGCCTCCCCTGAAGCGCACCAATTGGACTAGGCCAGCCTGATGAACTGGGTGTGGAGACAGACGACCGTAGACATCTAGCCATTGAAGAGATGTCAATGGAGCTGGAAACACCCGCATTTTGCTATCATTCCACATAGGCCCTTCCACCTTGTTTGTTGCCATGCATAGGACACAAAGGATGATGCAATCAGTAGCAGCCCCTGAAATGTTCTGTATTGCCTGGTTTACTTTCATTATGGCATCTGCTTCACAGATTGCCAATCTCTTTGCATCCTCGTCATTGAAATGCCCTCTTTGCTTTACTAGCCATAGAGTACGTCTATGAGAGTATGACCCAAATAATAAAGTACTGTGAAGTGCATCGTGTGTGGCAGAATTGATGAGCCATGCATCGACTCCCGGGTGGTTGGTGCCATTCAATGATGAGGGCAAAAGTCCTGGCCAAAGCATGCTCAATGCTAGCGAGGGCGAAAAAAGGTCAGTTGAATAGTCAGTAAACGAACAAGACAATAGAATCGAGGGCTCTTACAATATTTATTGGCATTGCTAACCAGTTGTGAAGGTAATGGTGAGGTGTGAGGGTATTGTTGGAAGGGATCCAGAATATTGGGAGTTATGCCATGTACATTCATCGCTCCAGCATTGCAATAACCAGAGCATTTTGACTCTTGTATTTGGGTAGAGAAAATGAAATGCATTTGTTCAAGTGTGTCTAGTGGGAAAGCTTCAGGACACTCCGCGTCTTCTCCAGAGACTCCTTCTTCCAGTGTGTTGAATAAATGATCCAAGCCATCGTCGGGTGTGCTGGCTTTAGAAGAGGAAGACTTGAATGTGGAAGAGCTGTCCGAAGCGTCCCAAGCTTCAAAACTTGATTGTCTGTCCCTGGATTGGAACCCGATAGCGACTTCATCTCGCAGATCCGACTTTTCTTGATTCACGTGTGTTTTCTTCTTTCGGGCTTCTGACCATCGCCATTTCCCAGCATGAGACCTGACAACGTGGAGATTGTTTGTTTTCCCCTCAGTTGAAGATGGATCCGAGGTGATAAAGCACAAGTTCACCTTCTCTCTGCGTGACTTTTGAGTTGACCGGCTCATGTTGTATAAAAAAGCAAAAAGAGAAGAGTGAGACTTGCTCAGCACACGAATATACACTGAGATGATGGCTCGTAGATAACAAGGTTGGAAAACTAATGCTGGGAGAAGGGTCCAACGGTTCCTTTAAATGCTTAGTAGGGGCCTCGGTCACAAAAATGTGGGAATTCTTTGGAAAGCCCTTCCTCTGTGGCGGAGCTGTCATTAGGGTTGATCTTTGGCTTGGGAACAGCAGGCTCTTGCTTATACTAGTCCCCGCCAATGCGGCTGACGACGTGGACCCGAGACGAAACAATGCCAAGAGAACAAAACAGCCCAAAAATAGGAAGCCATTGTAAACACAACTCCTTTTCTTGTTGGACCCTAGATTTTGAAGAAATGAGCTAGTAAAAAAAAGACACGGAGGTGTGGGAGTTCTCGTTAGAAGAAGAAGTTATTCAAACCTATTTTAAGAGTCAAAATGGACATCACACGTATACTCAGAACTAACGCAGGCCGTTATGCTAGGTGGTGTCAACCATGCATAGTAAATAAGCCTAGTTCGTGGGAAACGTGAGAAATAAAATTATGGAGACGTTCTTCTTCAAGCAGTAATTGTACTAAGCCGAATCCGGCCCGAGTTTACTCGGAGGCGCCGACTAGCCACCAATAAGCCGTGATCTCGATCTGCACCCAAGGCCTTGGGTCGAAAGGCATTTAAGCGAGCTGAAGTTTCCCCGATTGATAGCTTCATCGGGGTGGTGGCTGCCCGGTTCTGTCTATGACCTCCCCGGAAGGTCCCCGGATGGCCTTCCTCGTGGTCCCGACAATACAAATGCTCTGAAACCTGGGCTCTCTCCCAGCACGCTTGAGTGGATACTCAAGATTTGGGGTAGCAATCAACATTACCCGATCATTTTTCAACTAGCCGAGCTGAGCATCTAGCAAGTCCCGCTCGATTTAAGCATACCACTTAACTTCTCTTGGAGCAAGATCTGCGCCTGACGAATAGTCACCGTTCCTACCTTTTGCCATTTCAGGTAAGCTCAAGCGGTTTCTCGCCATTTGAAGGCCGGAGTTATGCGGCAGATAATGGCGGCAAGGCTTTGCTTTGACCCTCTTTTCCGTTTCATGCCTAGCTTCTCCCACTTTGGAATTGGCAAGCAGAGCATTTCCGCGGCTTGATTATTCAGTCAGCATCTGGGCGAATGCAAGTGAGGGAACATGTGAACTTGAATCATGTAGTGAATAAACGAGTTCAATAATTGGGAAGTCAGTGCGGGACCTTTCAAATACTGCTAGACGGGTGTACGGAGTAGATGTCGTGGATTGGTCCAGAGCGGACGGTTCCAACATCTAAACAGCTCAATTTCGACCCAAGATGACATGCACGAGTCTGGTGGCTGATAAGCTTGGCCCTTTAATTCAAGGGAGCCTCTTCCCTCTACCCCGAATAGACCAGATGTCTTACTCAGGCAGTTCATTCTGGACTTGATCATATCGAATCCTTTAAATCTCAACTGAATATTCGTTGAGATGTCAATTTGGAGCGATTCGTGAAAAGAGATTTACCTCATATTAGGTCTATTTAATCATGCTATCGTACAGAAAGAGCCCCCGGTTTACGACGGGGCATGACCATGAATACTGGAAACTTCTCGGAAACTCAGACCTCAGGTTGTTGCTGAAACAGGCAGCACAAACTTAATGCTATTAAAGACCCATACCCAACAAAGTATTACTTTATAGATAATTTCTATGGTCCAAGGCTAACATATGGTATCTATTGGCATTAAAATTTGCAAGAAGAAGTTAAAATAGATTCTGTATGTAGAAATACCCTGAAGCCTCAGACATAAAACAAGCAAGTGTAGATTCCAGCCTTCGCCTGCTTTGGTGGGCACCTCCACGAGGCTCTCATATAGTGTGTCATCTCCGAGAATTGCCAATTTCTTCTCACTTATCTCTCATTTATGCTTATCATATGCTTACGTTGTATGGCATAGACTCGTTAAGCGAGGAGGGGAGGGAAGGGAATGAGGAAGGAGGAAGAAGGAAGATAAGGTTGAAAGTTACAGCGCTCCATAAGCGCAGGGTGGTCAGTAGTTGTATACAGGTGTATTTTACAGTAGTGCTGCAAAAGTTTGAAGCTTCCTATTGGCCACCATTTAATGGCGGACCAGTAGCTACCTGATATGGAATAAAGCGGCCAGTCTTTTCCATCTCAGGTAGCTACTAGCCCGCCATTAAATGGTGGCCAATAGGAAGCTTCAAACTTTTGCAGCACTACTGTAAAATACACCTGTATACAACTACTGACCACCCTGCGCTTATGGAGCGCCGTAAAAAGTAGATTTCAGAAAGGTCCACGGCCAAGAACAAAATTAATTCAATCTTTTAGGTTCCCTCCATATGTACTTCCTTCTATCTTCTATCTCCTATAATCCTTCCGATTCTGCATTCCCTGGCCCATAACTTTAATCCTCTTGCAAGCGGTCTTTATAGTCCTTGTACAAGTTTGTGCTTGTAAATCCGGGTCTTATTGATAACTACTAGTAGTACCTAGACTTTATATGTACATAAACTCAAAATTATGCACCTTATTGCCTTAGCGAATAAACAATATGGTAATAGGCAGCCAAAAATACATGCTGAGGATCACAATGGTTCCAACCTGTCGGAATAAATGTCAACCTAGGGGCCCATGGTACGGCCATAGCATTCAAGTTCCAACTAGACCAGACCACCTGCCAGTGGGAATACACTGCAATCAAGTTAGATAGTATACTAAGGACGAGCTCCTTATTGCGGAAAGGCTGCATAGCTTGATGCATAAGCGTGCATACTCAAACTTGGCTTGCTGACTTTTCTGGACATACAATCATGAGGCAGAGGAAATAATTTCCAATTTATACTGCAGAACAATTCTCCACTATAACTTGAAGTATTTTCTTATTGGTGCCCGCATCCTCTAAATTCCGTGGCTACTGAGTCGTAGGCAACGTCGGTAGCTGCCGCCCCCTAATCTCAGCCTTTAAATCATTACTAAAGGATATCCGTGCCTATGTCTTCGGTTTATTTGATAATTCCAGACCTTTGAAACTTAAAATTGAAAATATGCAACACCGTCCGTCTTACCGACGGCAAACTTCAAAGAAAATATATTGCTAGTCCCAAATCTCATGGTTATGAATTAACCTTGTGAATTTGCAAGTTGTCGCACGGATCTTCGGAAGGGGTATGACCTCGAATACAACGCTGTATTTGTTCGGGCTATAATACCCCGAAGGAAAAAATTCATGTTATGCTATAAATTCTCAAAAGACGTCCCTGACAGTGTTTTCAATATTTCAATTGTCATGGTATTATGATTTGTTCGGCCTGGCATTTGTTGCGAAAGAATAATGTCGATTAGATTCCGGCATTTAGTGACGATTATGTCATTTGCAGTCTCCTCCGTCCAAAGCCTCGAGGCTTTCTTACCAGAGTCGTTTGCCGTTGGTCAAAGCCCGCTTATGCAGGCGGATAATGCCTATCATGCAAATGATATAGTCCTCAATTCCAGCTTTCCAGTGTTGACCCTCGACTACGGCACCGAAGTCGGTGGATTTCCTTTTGTGGAAGTTGAGAGCCCTAGCTCAGCTGTCCAGATACAATTGAAATATTCAGAACCCTATTCCGGCCTTGAATTGCCACAGGGCGATGGACCTTGGTAGGTTTACAATTGGCTGTATACTGTGATCTTCCACGAGTCTCATAAAAGTTTTAGGCTCTTTACCAATGGACTTATGAATTCCTTTCGACATGAAACCTTCAACATCTCTCATTCAGGGACGACCGAGTCTTATTTTATCCAGGGTGGTCTTCGATGGCAATCTATCACACTCATTGGCGATACGCCTCTCACCATCCGAAAAGCTGGTCTGCGGCCCTCGGTGAACATAACCGATCCTGAATCCCTACCAGGGAGCTTCAGTACATCCAAGGACATGTACCAGCAAGTCTGGAACCTAGGTGGACGGGCTGTCCAGGCAGCTTGCGTCGAAAAGTATTCCCAGCCATCTACTTGGGATATTTCAGACCAAGGCGCCTTTATAAGAGGACAGTTCCCGGCAGTATCTGCCCTTGGAAATGGCTTTGGAAATTATACCTTGGAATTTCGCACAAAAATCTCGACCGGAGGCACGGGCTGGAGGGTTGCTGGAGGTGCGAATGGGGGATACGGCCCTTATTTTGTGCTGACATCCAACCAAGAAGAGCTAATCAGCCCCAACATCACGTCGCTCCCTCGGAATTCTTTGGTGGCAGGATACGGATTCACTCTAATCAACCAAACCATCTTGAACTCGGCAGTCCCGCGCATGTACGACATTCCGGCAATGACCATTGAGAACGATAAGTGGTACCGAATCAAAACTTCAATCAATGCAACCGGTTATGCAATTTCTGTCGATGATCAGCTTATTGCATTTGTTGAAAATCAATATTTCCGCAGCTACATCGATTCTACATGGGGATCTGGTAGCTTGACTGATGGTAATTTTGGATTTGGTCCTTACCTGAGTCAAGCTGCTTATGTGCGAGATGTTCAAGTTACAGCGGCAAATGGCACTTTGATTTATGACAATCCGCTAACATCAACTGATATCCTGCAAGAGTATGCTATTGCTAGCAATGAATATGCGATGTGTCTTGATGGCGCCAAGCGGGATCGAACTGTTTGGATCGGTGATTTCGCTCATACCGCACGCATAATTGCGGTTAGTAGCGGCCGATATGACTTTATCAAGAGTATGATTGAATTTGAATTCGATTGGCAGTACCCACCCGGGCCTGCTCACGGCTTAGTCCCTATACAAGCTTATATGGGAGCTGGGCAAAAGTATCGCGAGGTATACTACCCCTCAGAATTTGGTGAAACAGACTATCAGTTCTTTTTCCTCTTAGTATTGACCGATTATTTTGCCTTGACAAATGACCGCGATTTCTTGAGCGAGAATTGGAACGGAATCAAGCTTCTAGTTACTACCCTGGTTGATCGTTATTATGATCAAACATCTGGCCTCATGGCTAGCCCCGACTCTTCGTGGTTTACAGCCCAGGGATCACAAAATGCAACTGCCCCAACCGCTTTATTCGTTGTTGCTCTGAACCAGTTGATCGATGTGGCAATTTCTTTGGATGACCCTTCATCTGTTTCTTCCTGGAAAGATCTCTCCCAGAATATTAGTGCCGCCATCAACGACAAGCTCTGGAATCAATCTCTTGGTGCATATAGCCTTTCCCTTAACCAACCAAATGATACGGCTATTCTCGCAACAGCATTCACAATTCGGGCGGGAATTGCATCGCCTGATCATGTTGCTAGCAGTGTTGCGCGATTATCCGATACATTTCTTTCAATTGGCTACAAGGACAACTCGGCCGCATCAAATGCAGCCAGTACCCAGCTTTCACCAAACACACAAGGCTTCCTCCTTGAATCCTTATTCCTCGCACACACAGAGTACGGAGTTTCGGCTAGTGAAGTCTTACCAGCGATCCGAAATCTATCAGAAGTCTTTTGGCCCAAGATGATCACCCAGAAGGAATACTCCACGGGTGCTAGCTGGGAGTATCTTTACCAGGATGGCAGTCCTGGAATTGGTATATTCACGAGCTTGAGTCATCCTTGGGGAGGTGCACCAACTTACATTTTCAGTAACTACATTCTTGGAGTTCGAACAGAATGGAATGCTCAAAAGAAAGAGTACGAATGGATTTTCGATCCTGCTTGGGAGATCGCCGAGGGTCTTGGTTTGGAGTGGGCCAAAGGAAAGGTTCCGCTATCTAGTGGAGGTTATATCCAGGCTGAGTGGAACTTGTCAGCACAGGCAAGAAATGCTACTTCGAAACCAAGGATGAATGCCACAGTGGTTGGGAACAAGGCAATTTCGATCACTGTCAAGGAAAGAAAGATTTAGCAAAGACCGTAGCAATTACCAGAAATTTATTCCCGGGTGGCTTCTCTTGGAGTGACTCGGATTACCATTATTGAAAAATGAAACCCCTCCTAGTTCCTTTGACTAGCTAGGGTATTATTCTGCGAAGCTTCCTGAAACCACACCAATGAACATTATTACCGCCGATCCAATATCCTCAGGTACCAAGGGTCTGATCGCTAGGTTGCAACTGCTCCACATAGATGAACGCGGGGGTGAGTTCTTCGGGTTTTCTGCTACCGAGCATGGTCGATTATTGTATTCCCCAGATTAAGGATTTAGTTGCTCGTATTGGTGAGCTTTCGACTATAAAGGACGTAATCTGCTAGTTTTGCTCAAGCCTAGCGTTCATGCGTTGCCAACATGGTTTCACTACCCAATTCAACTAGAGTCCATATTCTTATCCTTTGGTTGATCCTGGGACTTTCCGATTTCTCCAAAGCATGTTGGGTAAATAGCACCTGCAGTGGTCCATTGGAGCCTTCCTTCCCTGGTCCATGGGAGAAAAATATTTTTTCTCCTTCGTCTCGTATCGTTTCCCCTAAGAGGGCACTCAATGCAGACAAAGGCTTTCATGCAAATTATCCTAGCCACTCTCAATTGAAGTCTAATGGTTCTCTCGCTATATATGACTTTGGACAGTTGGTTGGAGGTTTGGTCTCTATCAATTTTACGGCTATTGGAAATGGTTCCATTGGTCTGAGTTTCACTGAGGCCAAGAATTTTACCGGTTTTGTTTCGGACGAGTCCAATGGAGGCTCGACTCCAGATGGTGCGCTCTTATTTGAAGTGTCGTCGCAGTCCCCGACAAAAGGGAGTTATTCAACCCCAATTGAGAAGCTTCGCGGTGGTTTTCGGTACCTGAGTATATTTACTCTCACCAATTCCACAAAGTTCGAAGTGACTATGGAGTCAGTAGAGGTCAACCTTTCTTTTCAACCTTCATGGCCTAATCTCAGAGCATATGGGGGTTATTTTCACTCAAACGACAATTTACTGAATCGGATCTGGTATGCAAGTGTGTATACGCTGCAGTCCAATAACATCCCACCAACTACAGGGCGTGCTTGGCCTGCACCGGATAACTCATGGTCAAACGATGCGAATTTAGGACCTGGTTCCTCTGTTTTAGTGGATGGAGCGAAAAGAGACCGCGCTGTTTGGGCCGGGGATTTGGGAATTTCAATCCCGAGCTCCCTTGTGGGCCTTGGAGATCTTGAAAGCAGCAAGAACTCTTTGAACATCCTTTACATCAACCAGGTTCGCTCAAAGTCAGAAACTAGGATGGAATTTATACTGACGTTGGAATTTAGAATAGCAATACTGGGGAGCTTCCAGAAGTTGGGCCGCCAATTTCGTTCTTTGGCTCTGACACGTACCACATGGCGACGATGATTGCGACACATGACTATTTCCTTTTCAGCAATGATACCGAGTACCTTGAATCAATCTGGTCGAGCTATATCCACGCAATGAATTTCATAATTTCGAAGGTGGATAATACTGGACTTCTTAATGTCACAGGAACTTCCGGCTGGGGTCGATCTGCCAGCGCTGCGGGTTATAGTACAATTGGGAACATGCTCATGTATGGAACTCTCAAGACAGGTGCAAGCCTAGCAATTTGGATGAATGACTCAAACCTTGCGAAAGGCTGGGAGCACATGGCCGCAAAGTTAAAGACTACGATCAACTCTCCGAGCTACAATTGGGATTCAGATGCTGGGTAAGCTTATTAATTTTTCGACATTTCGTTGACAGGAATCCCACTACAAGATTACTAACTGGAAGAAATTATCAGAGCATTCAAGAACAGCAATTCAGACCAGAGTATCTTCCCTGCCGACGGGAATAGTATGGCCTTATCCTTTGATGGTGCAAACGCTTCTCACTTGACAAAGGTTAGCGACCACCTGTCTAACAACTGGGGTCCTATCGGCGCGATGGTGCCGGAAATGCCAGGCACTATTTCTCCGTATATCGAAAGCTACGAGATCAAAGGTCATTTGAAAATTCGACAAACAAAGCGTGCTCTCGATCTCATTCGTTTGAGCTGGGGATGGTACCTAAATAATCCAATGGGAACGGAGTCATCTACTATCGAAGGGTATAATGAAGACGGGTCCTTTTTATACACGGCAAATGAGGGTTATGATAAGGCAGGATCATACCCCTCCCATGCACATGGTTGGAGCACCGGTCCGGTGGATGCCCTAGTCAATTATGTGGTTGGCTTAGAGCCAAAAAGTCCTGGGGGTGCAACATGGACTTTGGCCCCTCAAGTGGGTGATCTGAGCTTTGCAGAGGGTGGTTTTACTACTCCGTTAGGCAAGTTTTCTGCAGCCTGGCAAATCAAATCCAATGGTCTGAATCTCCAGTATGATACTCCATCTATAACTAGCGGGGTACTATGTTTGCCGTTGGATTCGAGCAAAAGAATTTTCGTGGATGGGATCAAACAGAGGGCGAAACCTTCTAATATCTCTAGGGATTTGATTGAGATAAGCTTACCAGGGGGGAAGCATACAATATCTCAACTCTGAGCCCTGATGATTTCAATTACTAGTTCGTTTTCCTTGTTTTGAAAGTGATCTTCTCAATGGCATATGCCATAGGCGAGGGCCTAAGTGTACAGAGTTTGAACCAACGAGAAGATACTGAGTGTTGAATGCATATGTTTTTTGGAATCCGAGTTTCATACTACTTAGCCTATTAAGTAAATCTCTTCTGTCCTCAAGACTCCCATGGGTTGAATCATGGCCTCATCATTGATCACCGAATACCCTTCCACGTTGCTTGCACAGCTTCACCCTGCACCACATCTTTCTCAGTCTTCAGTTGACTGGTTCCCATATCGGCGAAGGGTATCGCTCGCGTTGTATAATTTGGTGGGTCAAGCAGGTAAATCATGGGCACCGAGAGATTTTTCAACACCAAAACACATATGTGCGCGAGCTGGGGCCACGCGATGGTGGTAATTGCATGCATAAAAACGCCTTCAACTTTTCCTGTTGCCGATATGGACGAATATATCATCGAGGAAAGCAAAAAGGTAAGTAGAATGACGCTGTAAAAAATGCCATTTTCCCACAGGTCACGATACAGTCTCATGCACAGAGATAACTCTGTCTTGTGATTAAATGAGTTTTCGCTACTGCCAGTAATGAATGAACCTTTCGGCTTTTTTGAGACAAAGTAGAATCTTAGTATGGCGTAAACATTTGCTATTTCAAGCTTGTTAGTTTTATCATTGACAGGGAAAAGGGCGTTAAACTCACATCCCGCTAGCCACTTGTTCTCTAAGAATGCAAATGGTGTGCTTTCATGTCCGGTGTAAGCGGCCTGCAAGAACTCAAAGGCCCAAGTCAAAAGGGCTTGCCCCAGAGAAAGAATAAATTGAAGAGCTACCATATTCGGCGATGAGGTGGGAACGAGTTTCTCTCCACAAAATAATAGAAGGGGTACAGCAGCAAACCCCAAGAGGCATCCAATCTCTTCAAATACGATACCGAATCCGTTTCGAGCGATTGAAAGTCTCAGCTGGGAAGGTAGAGACTTGCTTCTGGAAGAAAGCATTGCGACGATCTGCTGGGCGTGGCCGATGTTCCATCGTTTTCTTTGAGCAATATGACCAGCAAGAGAAGCCGGAACTTGACCGAATTGCAAGGCCTCATCTACCTGGAAGGTTTTGTGACCCATGCCGCGTAGCAACAAAGACAGCTGCCAATCCTCTGAAAATGAATATGTTGGGTAAAGACCCACATCCACGATCGATTGTCGTCTAAAGACTGCGCCCGAGCCCGAATCAATGGCAATTCCAAGGGTGTCCAATTTAGCATTTTGGCAGGTATAAAAATGCCCCCGCGATTGAGATAGAGGATCTCCACTCGGAAGATTGTAAAAATATTGCCGAGTAGACACAAGAGCCGCCTCTGGGTCCATGAGTAGATGAGGCAGCGTGGCCCTTAGAAATTCCCTCGTTGGTATAGAATCGGCATCTAGAATCGCGCAGAATTCGGGTTGGAAATCCCGTTGTAGAGATGTTAAAGCATAGTTGAGATTTCCAGATTTGGCAAAAACTTGCCCAGACTGTCTTCCGCGAGAGTTATAGGAAAGGTGTGGCCATTGTGCCTGTAGCTCCAATACTGTCTTTTCTAACAATTGCGATTGGCCATCATCAAGCACGAGAACTCTAAAATGAGACTTCGGATAGTCTAGAGTACAAGCCGCTTGTACTGTCTGCAGAATCACATCAACATCTTCGCCGCAGCATGGTAGAAGAACATCTACATGGGGCAGATCTTTATTTCCCTGGAGGCGTAGTCGCTTTCTTGGAAGACTCTCTGGATTCCTGGTGGCCAAAACAGTCAATGACTGTTCCTTTCGGGCCAAATCTTTACCCTCAATTCGAATTAGAAATAAAGCCACAATTCAGTCTTGATTCTTTCTACTTACGAATGAAAAAGGTTTCGAGGAGAAAAAGTGTCCACATCTGCCAAGTCTTCTCCGAGGTTGACAATAACGAAACCAAGCGTATGATAATGTAGACATAACCGACAGTCTCTGCTGATCGAGCTACATTGTAAAGGAGTTTGCGATGTCTTTGACCCGATACGATCTGCGTATCTTGAGGGAGCTCGACTATAGATCCAGCACCAATCATGGCGCCTGATAGAAAAATGATCAAGAATCACCGGTGCAAGCTAGAGGAGAATGGAGGGAATCATTATGGCATTTATCAATTCTCCTCATCAGACTAAAATTGATTCATTCCCAAAGGAAAGGGGCATAACAGCGGTGTGTTTGTGCGTTTAGGCGCTATTTGGAGTGCTCTGGCCAAGCCACTGTGGATTATGGGCCGGAACGAACCCAATGCTCAAATCCGCCGTTTGCCGGTTGGCGAGAGAACCAGTTCTTCATCGCTTGGATCCCAAACATGCCTTCCAGGGCTGGGCTGCTCATTGGTTAGATTAAATACGCTAGTTGAATTTTATTTAGGCACATCACCCTAAAATCGATCCCCAACTGTCACAAAATTGACATTTCTTCTCTTCTAGTCTGATCGTAGATCGGTTATTGATGTGGAATAATTCATGTCAAGGCGATTGAAAAAGGAATACGATTAAGAAGGGTGTTCCATCCTTCTGGCAGTCTCACTATATCTTGTTTTCACAAATACTCGGCATGAACCATTCACTAGTCCCGATGCTCTCTCGGGCTCTACTCCCTTTAAGGGAATGATCCCTCGAGACTTTTTGACATCCCAGTTCGGTCCAACGAGCCACGTTGTCTCCTCTGGAATAAGGAGGGGTGTTTGCTGTGACCACGGTTTATGTTCTAAGCTAGTCCCCAGTCAAGGTCATAAAAAGGCTAGCGGTTCCGGGGTGTCGGGATAGACGGGACGGAGAATCAGACTAGCCAAAAAGACTGAAACATTTAAACGTGTACAGAGTACTAGTCCTAGGCTTCTGGTCGCTATTCGCAAAGAGGTTCTACCCGTGGACAATACTTTTGTTTCCCACTGAGGGATCCAGGTTGGAGCCTGGAGTGGAATATATTAGTACAACTACTATCTTGAAGGCTAATAACTATCTCGAGCACCACTGTAGTATCCATGGGTCTAGGTTCGGATTTGGGTGAATTTCCGGGAGGGCCTACATGTATAAATTGAAGATTGAGATTCAAAGCGTTTAATTGAGACAATATAAGATCACGGTGGACAAAAGAAATATCTTGGTCTGAGTCACCCTGGACCACAGACTATATAGTCTACCAAGGCAATTAAATTGCTATTTTCACACGCAAACAGGGCAATGATTGATAGTACATTCAAACAACAACAACTACCCAGACTCGGAAATACCCAAGTCTCAGATAGCTGTCTTTAATTCGCAATTGGAAGGGGGAATTTAGGACAAGTTGCGAGACATGTCGTTTCGGATACGCTGGTAGTCAAGGATACCCTCGATGCTGCCAACGGCGCTCATGGCAACGTCCTGATCCCACAGCTTGCGGGTGGCAAAGTCCATGATATCCTTCTCAGTGATCTGGCCAACGGTGCGCTCAATATCTTCGGGGCTGAGGCGGCGGCCAGTGGTGATGATCTGGCGACCAATGTCCTCGGCGACAGCGGTGGTGCCGTCCAGGGACAGGAGGATGGAGGCCTTCAGCTGGGCCTTGGCACGCTCAACCTCGGCGGAGGTGACGTTGTTGCACAGACGAGACCACTCGCGGAGGGTGAAGTGGATCAGGTCGTCGAGGTTGGTCAGGTTCTCGGAAACGAGGTAGATACCCCAGAGACTGGATGATGTTAGTACAACAGAGAACTCAAATCTACACGGTTGCGAAGAGACTTACCCAGTGTCGCTGTAGCTGGTGGAGAAGCTCATGAAGCTGTTAGCAAGGTGGTGGTGGCTGACTTGAGAGCTGAGCTTGCTTCCGAGGAAAGGAGACTGGCCCATGGCGCGGTCCCAGTTACCGACGATGGCCTGGGCGACCAGAGCAGTGAAGTAGTCATCATCCTTCCAGCTGACACCCTCAACAGCGAGAGCGATGTGGGCGGAGGGAATAGTGTCGTCACGGAGACGGACCTCAGAGCCAATGAACTCGGGGGTGCGCTTCATCTCAGCGGTGAGAGCGGCGGCGGCGGAGGTAGGGGGGCTTGCTGGGGAGGCCACCGAAGTGCTCCTCGGCGAGGCGGACGAGCTGCTCGTGGGGGATACCACCAGCACCAACCAGGACCATACGGTCAGCGGTGTAGTTGGTCTGGATGTAGTCGGTCAGGTTCTCCCGGGTGATGGTCTGGATGTTCTCCTTGGGGCCGAGGATGGTGCGACCAAGGGGCTGGCCCTGGTAAGCGGTGGCGTGAAGGTGGTCAAAGACGACCTCCTCAAGCTGCTTGTCAACCTCCTCCTGCTCGCGCAGGATGACGTCGCGCTCACGCTCAATGGCGGAAGACTCAAGCTTGGAGTTCTGGAGGATATCGGAGAGGATGTCGACGGCCTTGGGAACATCGGCGTTGAAGGACTTGGCGTAGTAGACGGTGTTCTCGCGCTGGACAGATTATTAGCGTGTTTCTGGGATATAGGGTTATGCGTTGGGTTTTCCGGCCGTACCGAGGTGTAGGCGTTCAGGTGAGCACCCATGTTCTCGATCTCAAGCTCCAGCTGGTGCTGGGAGCGCTTGTTGGTACCCTATAGAATCAATTCCGGTTAGATGCTATATTGCTTTGATCGGGGTTTTCTGTAGGGTCGAACCTTGAAGGCAAGGTGCTCAAGGAAGTGAGCAGTTCCGTTGGTCTTGTCAGTCTCTGACCGGCTGCCGGAATCAATCCACACGCCGACGGTGGAAGTCTGAGCCCACGGGGAGTGGTCGGTGGCGATCTAGAAGAGATTAGCAAGAGTGCGACGCAATTGAACGGGTTGACGAGGCGTACGGTGAAGCCATTGGAGAGGGTGGTGGACTGAGTGGTGGAAGGCAGAGCAACCGGCGAGGCGAAGCCGCGCTTCACGGGCTGGATGGACTTGAGAGCCGCACGGCTCTTAAGAGCCTGGTTCAGGTTGAAAGCCAAACGGCGGGAAGCCATTGCGGACGTGGTAGAGTGGGTAGGAGGGGGTAGGGGGATGGAGAAAAGAGCTGGCGTCGCCCTGAGGTTGGACTTTCGGAAGGCTCAGATTATTCACCCAACTCACCAGCCAATCACATCGCCCACATTTCAAGCAGGCCACTTCCATCCCGACAACTTCCTTGGGCCCAGTCCCCTTCCCACGAGACAACACTACATAGTGACACGCACACTACGTTTAGGTGGATTTAACTTGGGTTCAAACTAATATATCATTTCTAGGCTCGTCGCTCACAAAGACTATCGTGCGATTATATACTTCGTTGGCATGCTCGCCACTGTCCTCATCCACAACCGATTCATCCCGAACCCGAACCCCCCAAAGACCTTCATGAAACCTGCCTCCATCATACAAATTTACTCGCAAACTGCTGGATATTTTCTAGCATGGAAACATCTGCAGAAAATCCAAGCTTATAAGCCCGCTCATTCGAAAATTGAGGTGTCCAAGACTGCACGATCTTATCCGTAGCAGCATCGTATTTCTCCTCGACCAACGCCCGTCGCTCCTTACCACCGACCTGCTCCAATGCATCCAACATATCCTGCACACTGACCTTTAAACCGGGCAGATTCACGGAACGTGACTCGCCAAAGGCCTCCTTGGGAACGGTGCGCGCATGCATCAAGTTCTTGATAATAGTATGTGGCGAGCAAATCCACATCTCGGTTTCTTTACCCACGGGTAGGATGGCCTTCTTGCCGTGGAAGGGCTCGCGGATAATGTCACTGGCGAAACTGCTTGCAGCTTGAGTAGGCTTGCCGGCTCGGACAGTTACTGTGGGTAGGCGCACGCTACGTCCGTCGATGAACCCACGTCGCGAGTAGTCGGTCACGAGGGTCTCGATAATGAGCTTCTGCGATCCGTAGGAAGAGGAAGGCACCGGTGGGAAGTTATTCTCGTTGATCAGGAAACCGGCCGGTGCTGGGCCGTAGACTGCCAATGAGGAGGTAAAGACTACCTTCACTCCTGGCTGGGTTGTGCGTAGTCGGTCTAGGATGTATCGTGAAGAGTCGAGATTGACTTTGATGCCGAGCTCGAAGTTGGCCTCGGCGCCACTGGACATGATACCGTGCAAGAGGTAAACAGTCTCGTATTTGCGAGAGGCGCTGATCAACTCATCGACCTCCTTCGGCGAGGTTAAATCCGCACGAACGCAAGTCAGTCGGCTGGCATGCTCCTTAGCCGCCTCTGGAACATCCGGCTCAACGACATCAGTGATGGTTACCGTCGTGGAAGATGGAGTGCTAGCAAGAAGGCCTGCTGCCAGTTCCTGGCCAACGTAGCCGCCTGCGCCAGTGATGAGAATCGACATATTGGGTGAGGCAATGGTTGAGGATAAGGCTTATAAGGATGGAAGCAGTGAATAGTGAGATAGGAGCAATCAATGTAGAAAGCTATTGAGATATTTCAATCGTGCAACACGGGGACGTTCCGATGTTCTTATATAGTCGTCGTCCTGGACCCCGCGGGGTTGCGGCGAAGTCTCCCCTTCCCCCCACGCACCCTTGTTGGCCAATCTCTCAATTCGACAAATGATGGAACCTAGCAATTACTTTGCCCCCGGAGCTCAGAACAGGTTTGAGCCCATTGAGATTTAAATGGATCTCGAATTCGGTTTGATAGGATATTTCACATGATGAGGTTAATATCACTTACACAAGTACCTAACAAATGGGCATCTCAATCAGCAACAGATATCCCTCCGTTTCGCGATTTCAAAATCGGGTTACAAACTTATTACTAGGTTACTTACTGTCGATACAGACAGTTTGGCGTCCCCCCACGCACATATTCCGAGTCTTTTTACAACGCAGGAGTGGCTATTGAAGCTCGGTGAGAAATCCGACTGCCGAACCACCAGGCTGGGCAGCTCGGAACGCGGGGAAAGTCCGATGAGAGGCCCGGAAAACAGATAACCTGTGAGTGGAAAAGGAATTTTAGGTCGGATATAACTTTACTACTACACTCCTACGCAGGCGATAGTCTGCTATTGATTAAAGGTCCTGCTGGACATGGTCCGGATTTGGGCAGAGCG